TACATATATATAGATATACATATATATATATATATATATATATATATATATATATATATATATGTTAGGGGCCGCCTTAGAGTAGTAATCCCCCCCCCCAAAGGAACCATTCTGTAGAGAAGTGACCCCCTATGACCCAGTGACAGCGGCCTTGAAAGTCGGCGGAGAAGCTTTCGGGAAGCTTTCGGCGCCGGGCCTGCGCCTTAGCCAGGGAGCCTTTGTGGGTTGGGGGTGCAGGGTTGAGGGTTTAGGGTTCAGGGTTTAGAGTTTAGGGTTTAGGGTTTAGGGTTTAGGGTTTAGGGCTTCGGGTGTAGGGTTTAGGGCTTGGGGCTTAATTCTTAGGGTCCGTACCCCCTTAAAGGATGGCCGGTTCCCGAAAATTGGGCGGGAGGTGGGTGTTCTAAAATGCGGCCCCTCGCAAACCCTGATTCTCATCCCCAAGCCCTGAACCAAAGCCCTATCCAGCACATCCCTAAAACGCCTAAAGCCCTACTCCCCCTAAACCCCGAAACCCCGAAACCTCTGAACCTAAACCCTAAACCCTAAACCCTAAACCCTAAACCCTAAACCCTAAACCCTAAACCCTAAACCCTAAACCCTAAACCCTAAACCCCCCAAAGCTCCGCCCCGGGCCTCAGGGAATCGGGTTGCAGCCTCCACGGTAGTCGGGCCGAGGGCGTCCGCCATCGCTTCAAGGGGAGAGTGTTAGTCTGCGTTGGGGCCTTCAGGTTAGGGTTTGGAGGTTCTTTAGAGGGTCTTTCGAGGGCTTGTATACAGGGTTGCACGTTTCTTGGGAGGATTTATAGGGCTTATTTTGGTTTGATGGGGCTGATGGGGTTTATAGGGTTTATCGGCTGGGCTTAGGCTTAAACACTAAGGTTTGAACGGGTTCTAGGAGTATTGGGCTTGGGGCTTAGGGTTTAGGATGTAGGGTTAGGGCGGTTAGTTTAGGAAGTGTAGGGAGTTTAGGGTTCAGGGTTTAGGGAACCCTTAGCCCAAAAGTCTTCTGGGTTTTCAGGGGCAAATCCAAACACATGCGATTGCTTGGGGCCTTGCTTGGTGCTACGGTACCATGAGCCCGAGGCGGAAAGGCGCAAAGTGCTGAGCAAAAATCCCAAGTCCTGAACCCTAACCCCTGAATCCTGCACGATCAACCATGAATCGCAAATCCCTAAACCCTAAACCCTGATTCCTAAACCCTCAAGGTTCTACGCATGATACGCTACGTATAAGTACTAAGAATCCTAGAAACCCTGTAAACCCTAGAAACCCTATAAATTCTAGAAACCCGAGAAACGCTAGAAACCCTTTGAACCCTCTCAGCCCTCGAGACCCTCTGCCTCGAAATCCCATAAACCCCGTAATTTCTGCAAACCCGGCTCAAAAACCCGAGTAATCGTGTGAACCCTATGTGGTCAATTCTCGAAATGATTGGTCCCTTTTTTAAGCACCAAAATATCCGGGGCCACCTGACAATGGCAACCACAACAGGGACCCTAACCCCAAACCCTGAACCCCAAAAGGGACCATAATCTAGAGAAATTACCATGTAGGGGTTGCGATCATCTTGGGCGGGTTGGGAGTCGCTGCACCAAGGGTTTCTGGGCTTGCGGGCTTCTGGGTTTCTAGGTTTCTGGGCGTCGGGGCGTAAGGTTGAAGGCTTAGGCTTAAGGCTAAGGCCTACGTATTTAGGGTTTGGGTTTAGGGCTTCGGGTTAAGGGTTGAGGGTTGGATTTAGGGTTTCGGGTTTCGGGTTTCCGCACCTCTGGGCGAGCCAGGGTTTGGGATGGCAAAAAACACACAGAGCTCTTGCAGGTCTAGGGTTTAGGGTTTAGGGTTTAGGGTTTAGGTTTAGGGTTTAGGGTTTAGGGTTTAGGGTTTAGGGTTTAGGGTTTAGGGTTTAGGGTTTAGGGTGTTAAACCGACAGGTTCCCATGTTCACTTGTGCTGTCCAACATGTCTTCATCCTCGCCGGCCCTTCCGACAGCTCCGAGGTGGGAGGGAGAGGCTAGAGCTTGACCAAAACTGCACGGGGTGCAGTGGAGGGCTACATTCAGGGCTGGGTCCTCATAGGGGTCTGTGGACAGACCATAGGGTTACTTAGGTCAGGGTGCCTCATTCGACATTGCTTAGGCCGACAGGACCGGGCTTAGGCATAGGGGTTTCACATTGGTAGCGGAGCCCGGCCTGTCGCTAGCTAGGAGTTAGTGTAAACAGGGGGTTCCAGGGAGTTTTTGTTGATGGGAGTGGCGCGGCGCCATGGCGCAAGCTTCAGAAGGAACGGCTGAAGCAGCGGCAGGAGCCACCGGAGGTGTGAGCCATCTCCCGTGGCAGCAGGTCCCGAAGTTTACGCCAGGGGTGACAAGCGTGGACGAGTACTCTCAACGGCTTCGCTTTCTCAAAGAGTTGTGGCCAGCCGAGCATCTGTCGTTGTTGGCTCCCCGGGCAGCCCTCTTGGTGGAGGGGGCCGCCTTCCAAAAGGTGAGCCGGATCAAGCCCGAGCAGTTGCGAGGACCTGATGGTGTGAAGTACCTTGTGGAGTCGCTGGGCGGGTCTTGGGGAAAGACCACAGTGGAGGAGCGATACCACTTCTTTGAGCAGGCCATCTTTCAGACGCAACAGAAGGCGGACGAGAGTAACGATTCGTACATTGCCAGACACGACGCTTTCTTTGAGGAACTCTTGAGCCGTGGGGTGACCCTTGAAGAGATCCGCGCCTATGTTCTTCTCCGTCATTCCTTGTTGGCCCCGGAGGACAAGAAGCGTGTGATCGTGGAAGCCAAGGGCGACTTGAAGTACCAAGAAACGGTCCGAGCAGTGCGGCTCTTGGGGTCCAAGTTCTTCACAGACTTTCAGAACCGTAGTGGCCCGGGAAATGCCAAGGCAATGGATCGAAGCAAGGTCTACGACATCCACATGACGACAGACGACGACACCTTTGAGGAAGTGCACATGGCGATGGGACAGGACGAGGACCTCAGCGATGAGCTCATCCTGGCTCACTTCCTTGAGGCCAATGACGAGGACGCCATCTACATCACGGAGTTTGAAGATCAGATAGTGGAGGCGGTGCAGGAGAGTGAGTTGGCCCCAGTCTTTGCCTCGTACCAAGAAGCTCGTCAAAAGCTGCGGGACAAAGCAAAGTCCAGGGGGTTCTGGCCCATCAAGGGCAAGATGAAGGGGAAGGGCCAGTCCGCGAAGAGAGGCAAGGGTTATGGTTCCTGGGATGGGGGCCGTCGACGTTCCCTTGCAGATCGGATCGCCAACTCCAACTGCAAACAATGTGGGGCCAAAGGGCACTGGAAGCGGGAGTGCCCGAAGAACGACGCTAAGCCAGAGGCGACCTTGTTTGCCCAGATCCAGCCGACCGATCCCTTCCAATCGGAGGTTCTCCAGACCCTGCCAGACTCCGAGCCCTTCAACATCGATGAGGACGACAGCGCATGGACGCAGAGAGGGGTTAGCACAGGGACAGGGAATACTGGAGTAATTCAGGACTTCGGGGAGACTTGCTTTATGGTTGCGCCAAAGGTGGGGCCTTCTTTGTCTCTCGAGTCTTGCCTTGCACGACGTTTGTTAATGATTCACAGGACATGTAGGACGCCAAGCTGTGCGCCGCCGGGTGCATCTTCTGAGGCGCAAGGGCCGGCAACCGCGCCGAAGCAGGCAGTTTTGAGACGCAGCAAGCCCAGTCCCATAATTCCTGAAGCAATTCTAGTAGCCACTGTAGGTACTGAGGGGGTGCTAGATACAGGGGCCAGTAGGACTGTGCTAGGAGACCAAAGGGTTCGAGAAGTGATAAGCGGTCTTGCTGCAGAGTGTCGCGGTCGAGTAAGGAAGATAGCTTCTGATGTCACCTTCCGTTTTGGAAACAGCGGGACACTCACGTCAAAATTTGCGCTGCTGCTGCCCACCTCAGAAGACACATGGGTCAGAGTTGAGGTGATCCCCGGAAACACTCCTTTGTTGATATCAAATCGTCTTCTCAGGGACCTAGACGCAGTTATTCATGTTAAAGAGGGGTATTTAATGCTGGGTGGTTCTAGGAGGGTAGACCTTAGATGGGATGAGCGAGGCCTATCCATAGTCAATCTGTCAGATCTCCTTCACGTCGGGGACAGGAAGGCTCCTGTCTACGTTGTTGACAGTCTGGGGGCGCACCCGCGTCCAGAAGCCTCCTCGGGAACACCAGCCAACAGTCCAGTCCCCAGTCCCCCACAAGATGTTTCCGTTCCACCAGAATCAGCAAAGCAGCGTTTCCAGGAACCACAGAACACAACACGGCAGCCTGAGCTCAAGCAGATAGCGCGAATCTTCGAATATCCTTCTCCTTCGCCGAGCGGCTTCCAACCGAGCGATGCCCACCTCAGTCAAGCAGTCCGTGAAGAAGCTCCAAGAGAAGATGCCCGAGGTCAATCTGGACGAACCTCTCTCCGCGGAGGAGGATGTGCACCTGGCCGAGGAACAGCTGACCATGGTAAAGTACTTGGAGGTGGAAGTTGTCCGCCCACCGGGGATTGCGAATCTTCGGGAATGGGGCCAAGTGGTGATCGCGGCTGGCAAGCACAAAGGAAAGAGTCACGAGAAAACGTTCGAGACCGACCTGTCCTACTCGATCCTCATGGCTCGGAAGTCTTCTCTCAGCAGCCCATGGGCACTGTCGTTCAAGAACTATGCCCTGATGCGACTGAAGCAGATGGCCAAGACGGAGCAGGCGAGGTCCACGACCAAGGCGGAGGCAAAGAACATCAAGTCCCAGGGTCCAGCCGTCATGGACGGAGAGGAGAGCGATGGGTGGAAGCTCTGCTCGCCGGATGCCACATCCCACACAGCTGCACCGAGCCGGGGCAGCAAGAGGAACAGTCAGCCGGGGGCAAGCTTGCAGATGCCCATTGCCATGTCGCCGGAGGAGATCATGACGCGCCGGGCCGTGCTCGAAAGAGAGCTGACGAGGCTTCGGGAGATCGAAGATGCCGACAAGGAGTGAGGGTTGATCCAAGCATGGAGACGGACGCAAGCAATCAAGGGAGGCATGGCAAGGTTCAACAAATGTGTGCACAAATAGACAAGTACATCCTGCAAATCGAAGAACAACTTGGTGATGCAGTGAGAAATTCGGTGTGCCAGTACCGTCTGCCCTCCCTTGATGTCATCGAAATCGGTAGTGGGGCCATTTGCGCAGCCGTTCAGAGATGTGGCGGGAGAGCTTTAACACTTTCTCCGGCAAAGCTTGGGAGCGCTCGGGGTATGTATGATCGCCTCTGGAAGCTGATCTCAATGTATGAGCCGACACATCTCTGGTTGGATTTGCAGCAGCCGTGGAACCACAAAACAGACAAGGGCAAAAAGACACCATGGCCAGGACAGTTTCTTCTTGACCTTTATCGCTACCAAACAGAACGAGGCAAGCACATACATTTCCTGTGTGGCCAGGGTTTCTTTGAGCAAATGGCGCCTCAACTCCAAGAGGTTCAACAGGGCACTTTGCGAATGATTCATGAGCTGGAAGTGGGAGACACCCCGCCAGGAAACAACCATCTCCGCAAAGCCACCACACTGTACACCACGTCCAGACGACTGCAGCAAAGTGTCGACACTCGCTTTCAGACAGCGGGTCCAGATCCCAGTGGGCGAAGCAACCGCATGTTCCCACGAGAGAGGCGTCTTGCCAAACGGGTAGCCATGCACCTAGGTCAGGACTTAGGGTTTCCTCTGCCTTTAGAAGAGCTGTTGTTTAATGTTGAAAAGCGGGGAGTCTCTAACTCTGACATTACTGCCGCCCAGCAAGTTTTGAAGCGCCGAAGACTGTTTGGAAAACAGCCAGGGCCGACAATCTCTGGAAGCGAGGCTCCTAGGATAAGTTGGGATACAGTTTTTCGAGATGTTAACGCGAGGGTTCCGAAAGGGGGAAAGGTAGGGTTTTCAGAAGGGGACCCGGTAGTCCAACAAGTTCAAGCACTGCTTCCACAGATTGTTGTGCAACATGTCGTCTGCTGTCGAGGCACCAACCGGATACAGCCACCTTGTGTGGAGGGAATGCCGCGGGACATGCCTTTACGTCAGACGGTTGTGGTAAAAAGGGTTGGTGGTGAAATAGCTATGGATGGTGAGATAGAGGATTGGTCCCAGGTTCCACGATATAAACAGATGCGTAAAGGCATTCCTGCAAAACTCAGTCTCACAGCTTACGGCATGTCACCTGAAAGGTTGCGGAGTTTCAGGGGTCTTCGAGCAGAAGAAGCCCGGAATCAGCAGATGCCCTTAAGAGTAGACCAAAATCCCGAAGCACCCCAAAACCCTGAAAATACCTCAACAACAACAGATGTGCCGACAACGCGCTCGGATGCTGAGGATGGACCGCTCATTCAGGGCTACCCTCCACGGTCGGTTCCTAGGCACGGGCCGGGGTACTTCGCTTTAGGGGAGTCCGAGAAGAGGGAGTTAGTTAGGCTCCATAACAATTTGGGTCATCCATGCACTGAGACGTTTGTCAGATTCCTGCAAGAACGAAAAGCCGAGCCTGCGCTCATCCAGGGTGCTCGCGACTACTCTTGCAGTACGTGCTTGGAAACGGTTCCCACCCAAAAGTTAGCTAGGCCGGCGACAATTCACACGCATCGAGATTTTAACGACACAATCGGTATGGATGTTGCGTACTGGACCAATAGCGGGGGGAAGAAGTTTCTGTTTACGCACATTGTCGATGAGGGCACACTGTTTCAACAAGCCAGTGGAGTAGGTAGGACGCCAGAAGAACAATGGGAGTTCCTATCGGATCATTGGTTTCAGTGGGCAGGGCCTTGTCAAACTTTGTATGTAGATCCAGCAGGGGAGTACAACAGTGATTACTGGCGTCTAAAGCTGCAAACTGTAGGTGTGTGCACCAATGTTTCTGCGGGAGAGGCTCATTGGCAACTCGGTAGGACGGAAGCTCATGGTAGGATACTGAAGAGCATGCTTTCTAAAATGGACCATGAAGAGCCCATCCTGAACGACGAAGATTTCCGTCGGTGTCTGAGAGCGGCAGTGCAGGCTAAGAACAGCTTGAGTAGGGTCCGGGGCTTCACACCTGAACAGGCAGTCCTGGGTAAACTTTCGCGGCTGCCAGCCTCTCTGATTTCCGACAATAGTGCCACGTGCCATGCTTTAGCCGACAGTGATCTGCCAGAAGGAGTCTCCTTCAGGAGGGACCTGCAGCGCCGTGAACAGGCCAGAGTCGCATTCATACATGCAGACAACGACAACTCGTACCGTAGGGCTCTACTTCGTCGTTCGAGGCATCCCTGTGAAAGATATGAGCCGGGCGATTGGGTTCTGTACTGGCGCCGACATAAAGCCGGGAGTCGTGCGGAGCAAGGAAGGTGGTATGGGCCGGGTCAGGTAATTTGTGGGGATAGCAAGGTAGTGTGGGTGAGCCACTGTGGGCAATTGATCCGTGCAGCTCCTGAGCAGCTGCGATCCGCGTCCTTGAGAGAATGGCAAGGGGTGCTGGGAAAGACCAGTGCTGAGAGTTCACAAGGGGCAGTAGGTCAAGGGGTTAGAAGGGTGGTCGACCTTGCTGTTCTCGGAGGAACACCTAGCCGAGCAGAAGTGGAGAGCCAGGGAGAGGTTCCGCAGGATGTTCCCGAACCATTAGGACCCATAGCCCCAGAAGGAGTAGCTGGGATAGAAGCCGGGGGTACGGTTCCTGAAGTTCCTGAAGAAAATGCGGAGGGAGAACAGCCAGAGATGGAAGTCTCACCTGTGCCGTCGGTAGGTCTCGAGACAGATATGGTAGATGCTTCGAACATTCCTGTGCCTGAAGATGACGAAGACGACCTCTTGTTTGGAGACAGTGAGTGTTTTTTCGCACATCCCACACAGTCACAGGCATGGGAAATCAGTTTGCATGAAACGGAGGTGCCTTTCGAAAACCTCCCGACGCCGCAGCAAGCTTTGCATTTTGTAATGTTAGCCACCGAGGCACGCAAGAAACGAGTTGAAGTAAGATTGAGGGACTTGAACGAGGGTGAGAGGCAACAGTTCGTAGAAGCTAAGGGCAAGGAGATTCGAGCCTGGCTTGACCACAGGACTGTACGTAAAGTAGCTGCGGGAACCCTTGATGATAGTCAACTCATGCGTTGCCGCTGGCTTCTCACATGGAAAGGTCCCGAGAAGGATGGAGGGCCGAAACGGGCCAAAGCTAGGCTAGTGGTGCTTGGGTTTGAAGACCCAGACATTGCTGATATCCCTAATGACGCTCCTACTTTAGGTAAGGACGCCTGACAACTCATCCTTCAGAAGGTGGCCAGTAACCGTTGGAAACTGATCAACTTCGATGTGTCCACTGCTTTTCTGCAGGGGGAGGGGGATGGTAGAAAGCTAGGCATAAGACCACCTGAAGAGTTAAGAAGAGCCCTCAACATGCAGGCGCAGGAACAATGCCAGCTCGAAGGCGGCGCTTACGGCAGAATCGATGCTCCGTTTTTGTGGTTTCAGACATTTAAGAAGACACTTGAAGAGCTTGGTTTTGTGCAAAGCCCTTTCGATGCCTGTGCTTTCAGCCTCGTTTCACAAAGGGCCGATGGTAGTGCTCAGGTTCATGGTGTTCTGGGAATACACGTAGATGACGGGATTGGGGGAGGTGATGAGTATTTTCGGAGGGTCATAGATCGGTTGCGGGGTATCTACAGCTTTGGGTCGTATGATGAGGGCGAGTTCACGTTCACCGGGATTCGTTTTCGCCAATGGGACGATGGGAGCATTGAAATGGACCAAGAGAGGTACATAGAGAAGATCGTGCCCATACATGTGTCCCGAGAGCGTAGAGTGAATCCCACCGCGATGTTGAACCCTGAAGAACTTAAAGAGCTGAGACGCCTCAACGGTAGCCTCCAGTATGCTGCAGTGCATTCTCGACCCGACCTAGCTGCAAAGGTAGGCTACTTACAGACAAGAGTCAACAAGGGCCAGGTTCAGCATCTTCTGGAAGCTAACCGTGTCCTTCAAGAGGCCAAAGCTCACCCAATCTCTTTGATGGTTGTGCCAATTCAAGAACAGCATGTTACGTTTTGCACTTTTTCGGATGCTTCCTTCGCCACGTCGAAAGACCATAACTCGTATCAGGGTACGCTGGTGGTGGCAACAGACTGGCGAATGCTAGCCAACCGCGAAGCTGTGATCATTCCTGTGGCCTGGTCCAGTAAGAAAATCTCCAGGGTAGTAAGAAGTACATTGAGTGCTGAGGTAGTTTCTCTCTGTGGGTCCGTAGACCGAATGTCCTGGATCAGGTTGTTCTGGGAATGGTTCAAGAATCCTGCTGTTGATATCGCACATCCGGAAGAAGTCCTTTCCCACGCGCCTCGAGCTTCGTTAGTCACCGACTGTAAGAGCGCTTACGATATAGCTACGAAAACTGCTGTACCTACGTGTTCTGAACTACGCACCCAGTTGGAATGCTTGTTGCTAAGGGAGAGACTTCAAGAAAATTGCAAGATGCGCTGGGTTCATTCAAAGGCCATGTTAGCGGACTGTTTGACCAAAGTGATGGATAGTTCCGAGTTAAGACGTCACCTACGGGAGGGTTACTATGCCTTATTCGACGAACAAAAGGTTCTTGAGAATAGAGCGGGGCAAAGACAGTCGCTGCAGTGGCTACGCCAGAACTCAACCAGAGTCTCACCGGAGCACAAGTGAAGAAACTTAAAAAGTTGGTTTTCGATGAGTGTTAAACCGACAGGTTCCCATGTTCACTTGTGCTGTCCAACATGTCTTCATCCTCGCCGGCCCTTCCGACAGCTCCGAGGTGGGAGGGAGAGGCTAGAGCTTGACCAAAACTGCACGGGGTGCAGTGGAGGGCTACATTCAGGGCTGGGTCCTCATAGGGGTCTGTGGACAGACCATAGGGTTACTTAGGTCAGGGTGCCTCTTTCGACATTGCTTAGGCCGACAGGACCGGGCTTAGGCATAGGGGTTTCACATTAGGGTTTAGGGTTTAGGGTTTAGGGTTTAGGCTTAGGGTTTAGGGTTTAGGGTTTAGGGTTTAGGGTTTAGGGTTTAGGGTTTAGGGTTTAGGGTTTAGGGTTTAGGGTTTAGGGTTTTTAGGGTTTAGGGTTTAGGGTTAGGGTTTAGGGTTTAGGGTTTAGGGTTTAGGGTTTAGGGTTTAGGGTTTAGGGTTTAGGGTTTAGGGTTTAGGGTTTAGGGTTTAGGGTTTAGGGTTTAGGGTTTAGGGTTTAGATTGGTTCAGGGCTTAGGAGTCTCTAAGATGTAGATAGGATGTCAATAAGGTCGCTTGGGGGGTGCTCAAACCCTGACACCCCCGCTGCCTCACGGCGGCATCTGAGTCTAAACTTCGTTGCCATGTCATAGCAACTTGCTTCCTCAGTCAGCGCTGAGGCTTTGGGGCTTTAAGGGCTTCAAGGGAAACCCTAAACCCTAAGTGTAGAGTATACAGGGTGTACAGCCTTCACGTTTTCACGTTGGGCTTAGAACCAGGAGCTTGAACATCGCCCCTGAACCCTAAGAAATGCAAACCTAAGCACACACACAGCATCCCAAACCCAAGCCCAAATACTATGGACCTTGAACCCCAACCCCCAAAAAGCAAACCCGCAACCCTAAGGCCTGAACCGCCTCTCATGCCTGACAATAACCACCTAGGAATAAAAAAACGGTGCCTTTTTGGTTTTAAGGGGCTTATGGTGGGGATTCTGAGCCGCAAAAAGGGAAGGGTCCTAGACGAGCAGCTCCCACGGTATGGAGCCCTGATCTCACGCAAAGGGGGGGGGGGGGGGGGGTCGGGGCTTGGGTTCGAGGGTTTGATTGACTTCAGACTGTGCAGGGTTTAGGGTTTAGGGTTTAGGGTTTAGGGTTTAGGGTTTAGGGTTTAGGGTTTAGGGTTTAGGGTTTAGGGTTTAGGGTTCTAGGGTTCTAGGGGTTCGAGGGTTTAGGGTTCAGGGCGATGTCTGTGGCTCCGAAGGTGAAGATATCATCTTCGTAGCGTTGATTCTGCAGGGGGGGGGGTCTGGAGTTCGAGGACTCGGCGGCTGTGGGGTTAACCCTAAACCCCAAACCCTAAACCCTAAACCCTTCAGACTCTGGGGTGCCACACTGTGCAGTTGCAGAGGTCCAGGTTCAGGACGCAAGTGCCGAAGGAGAGGAGGGCTTTCTGTCATCGGCTAGAAGAGGGTTTTGGGTTTTGGGTTTAGGGTTTGCAAGTTGTGGTAGAACGAGGGTATCGTTCCGGAGAAGTTTGCCCGCAAACAGGTTGATGCTCAGGGCGTAGTAGGAAAATCTTGGTGCTATAGACAAATGTGAAGGTGTATATGTTGTAGTTCCGGGGGTAGCAGTATCCCTGCTAACGGGTCAGTTCGGGTGATCACTCCCTCACCAACGAAAGCCACCTACGTACCGCGAATACGTGAGGATCCCAAGGTTTGCAAAGCCCTGGGGGTGGATGCGCAGCAAGCCGGTGCCCAACGGATCGCTCCTTCTGTGGCAACACCTGCTTAACTCGCACCTCTTCACCAAGCCAATGTCCCTCGCCCAACGGGTTTCCCCTTAAGTGGCAACGAGTGACAAGTAACTCAGTGCAATTGTTAGGGGACGATACAGAACAGGGGGCAAAAACGCTATTTTGCTTCCAAGCTCGAAAGAGCTCTCTCGAGCCAATGCCGGCTGCGGAGGCTCAGTCCTGAAAATTGGTCCTGCCCAACAAGACAACAGTACAAGCATGCCATGCCCTTCTGACCCTTGCATGCAGTTTCAACCGCATGCAGCCTCCTGATAGCTCATGCATCGCATCAATCGATATTTCGAATCTTGATGTTGGCGTCCAGGCACTTATTCCGCATCATCATCACCCAACATCTCAGACATCGGATCAATATACCAATAACTCGTTCTCGATGAAGTCGATGAAGCCATATTCCATTTCGTCACAACCATCATCAACAGTCATACACACAGGTAAAACCTGAAAACATGTTGTGGCAACCTTGCATGCTGTTCTCTGCTACTTAAACATGACGCGCCAAACAGGGTTTAGGGTTTAGGGTTTATGTTAAAGTACAAACACACACGGGCATCGAGCCACGGGTCTCTTTCCGAGCCGGGCAGCCCATCAAAACCTAAGAGCCTTCTCAGCGCTTACTAGCCGTAGGGGGAGTCTACGCATCTGTTGAAAGGGGCTTTCAGATGGTTCCTTCGAGTTTGTGGCGCAGACCCCCTGGCAGACTTGAGTTCAGGGTTTTGGGTTGAGGGCTTGAGAATGGCTTGGGGGATGTGTGGGGGGTTTAAGGCGGGTTCAAGGCTAGGGGCTACGGTGGCCGCGCTACACCCCAAGCCCAGTCTTTACCTCGCGGTTTAGGGCTTAGGGCTTAGGGCTTACGGCTCAGGGCTTAGGGCTTCAACCCTCGTCTTCACAGGCCAGAAAGACGCAACCTTCCAGCCTCCAAAACGCCTGGCGAAGACCCCAACACCCCAAACCCTCCAACCCTAAACCAGGTTTCTTGCGCCACGAAAGACTCGAAGTTGGACCCTAAACCCAAAAGTCTCAAACCCAAACCCCCCCCCCCCCCCCAGAAAAACAACAAAAAACTTGCACCCCCAAAAAGCCCAAAAAACCCCAAAACCCACCCTGAAACCCCAAAACCCTCCCGAAGTCAAACCCTCCAAACTCGAAGCGCGCCCCGAACGCCCTTGAACCCTAAACCCTAAACCCTAAACCCTAAACCCTAAACCCTAAACCCTAAACCCTAAACCCATCTCTGACGCCCAAGCGCCCGAAACCCAAAACTCTGAACCCCCTAGACCATACAACACTCTAACCCCTAAATCCTAAACCCGAGAAACACTATCAACTCGAGAAACCCTAGAAAACCGGTAAACCCTAGCAAACCTAAAAATCCCAGAAAACCTAAAACTCCTAGAAAACCTAGAAACCCTATAAACCCCATGAACCCTGTAAACCCTGTAAACCCCATGAACCCTATAAAACCCTATACACCCTATAAACCCCATGAACCTTATAAACCCTATAAACCCTCTCTATGAGCCCTATGAACCCTTAAACCCTATACGTGCTCCTAAACCCTAAACCCTGCAATACCCGCCTAAACCCTAAACCCTACAAACCCTCCTAAACCCTAAGCCCTAAACACTATACACCCTGCAAACCCTCCTAAACCCTAAACCCTAAACCCTGAACCCTAAACCCCTAAACCCTAAACCCTAAACCCTAAACTCTAAACCCTAAACCCTAAACCCTAAACCCTAAACCCCAAACCCCCAAACCCCTAAACCCCTAAACCCCTAAACCGCCAGCGCCTGGTCACAGTCTTGGACCACCGGCTCCTGCTTCGCCGCTTCCTTTCCGAAAGCACCGGAAAGGTTTAGGGTTTAGGGTTTAGGGTTTAGGGTTTAGGGTTTAGGGTTTAGGGTTTAGGGTTTAGGGTTTAGGGTTTAGGGTTTAGGGTTTAGGGTTTAGGGTTTGGGGTTTGGGGTTTGGGGTTTGGGGTTTGGGGTATGGGGTATGGGGCTTGGGGTTTGGAGTTTCGAGTTTAGGGTCTGGGGCAAGTTTGGGGATTCGGGTTTACGGAAAATCTCCCAACCTTCAAGAGAGGCGAAGAATGTCCTTCAAGAAAGGGTCCTCACTGCACTGTCGCACTTCTGAGGGCGGCGCGAGGACAAAGACAAGACAGGCCCGCCGGAGAGCAAGCCGACTCCTAGCTTTGAGGCGGCGCAAAACCCTGGGCGCATGCGAGCAGCCGACAGCACCCGGTGCCAAACTCTGGGATGGCATGGACTCGTTCCCCACTCTCCAGGCAAGCAAGACCGCACCACGTACTCCAACGGTGGGGGACCGAAGACCCCGGCGACACGAAGTGTTGAGGTAGGCGTATTGGTTTCTGTATTGGTTTCTGGGCACACATGGGTTTAGAGTTTCGGGTTTCTCGAGATGATGGTCCCCTTTGGGGGGCGGGGGGGGGAGGCCTTGGGTAGGGAATGGAGCATCTTCGCGCGAACCCACAACGAAGCCTCGATGCCGGATGATGGCTTTAATGCATGTACAAGAACTCACCGGAAACTTCCTCCCGGTTGAGGGTTTAGGGTTTAGGGTTTAGGGTTTGGGGTTTGGGGTTTGGGGTTTAGGGTTTAGGGTTTAGGGTTTAGGGTTTAGGGTTTAGGGTTTAGGGTTTATAAGGTTTAGGGTTTAGAAGGTTTAGGGTTTAGGGTTTAGGGTTTAGGGTTTAGGGTTTAGGGTTTAGGGTTTAGGGTTTAGGGTTTAGGGTTTAGGGTTTAGGGTTTAGGGTTTAGGGTGGAAGATGGTGGCGGCGCCCGTAAGAGGCCGTGTGAGTGAATACATTTTTTGTTTACATTTCTCGCGTCGGGGGCTAAAAACCCAAGCGAAACACACATTTTCGTGATCACCGCAGCATTTGCAGGGCTCGAAAACACTGAAGGGTTAGGTCATTTTTTCGGAAAAATGCATTTTCGCTCGAAGCCTGATCGTTTTTTGTTGTTTTTTTTCCAGGGGGTCCTTTTTTTTTGAAGTTTTGGACGCGTTTTTTGCTCGAATTTGCGCTCTCGCCTAGGCGCGGGCACGTTTTGCTCATTCCCCATGTTGAACTTTCAAATGGCGATTTTCGGTTCGGGAAGTTTTTTCTGCGTTATGGCTCCGGCAGTTCAGGTTCGAAATAGTGCTCTCGCCACAGCGCAGGCATGATTTTCTGGAATTGTGCTTTGGTTGTAACCCAACAGACTTGTGCACTGGATCCTGAAAGTGGCCTCAAGTTGATTCTTCTTCAGGGTTCAAGGTTCAAAGTTTAGGGTTCAGGTTTCAGGATTTGGGTTTGCACTGCTTGGACTATTCTTTTGGTTTAAGGATCGTTTGTTTGTTGTGTTTTTTCTAGGGGGTCTTGTTTTGAAGTTTCGGACACATTTTTTGCTTGAAATTGCGCTGTCGCCTAGGCGCGGGCGCGTTTTGCTTATAAACCCCGAATTAAACAGCAAGGGTTTAGGCCTTTGGGGATTAGGGGTTCAGGCTTTGGAGTTGCAGGTGTGCAGTCCCAAGTCACGTGATTACCCCACCCCCCCCCCCCCACCCCCCCACCCCGAGCCCCAGAAATTGTGGTTACTCGCACGGCCTCTTAGAGGCGCCGTCTCCTGGAACATGCCCGCGGCATGAATTTGACAGACCAGTTCAAGGAGGGCTCTGTGCCTCTGTGACTTGCGTGATTTGGACACTCCCTGCTTGCATCCATTCAGTGCATATAGTCAGGCAGTCGCCCACTCAGGACGCTGAAAATGTGGGGTTACCCTAAGCCCTAAACCCTAAACCCTAAACCCTAAACCCCCTATCCCCTTTGAACAGAAGGTCTAGGGCTTGGGGATGGTTTAGGTCTTAGGGCTTGGGATCTCGGATTTGGCTTACCCCAAAGTCCTGAACAACGACCATACATACCTACTGCAACCCTACATCTACCCCCCTAAACCCTAAACCCTAAACCCTCAACCCTAAACCCTTCAGGGCTGAAGGAGATTCAGTGTATGAACCTGGGGATGATGGGATTTCGAATTGTGGGATTGACTCGACACCTCGCTCACTTCACTGGTACAAAGGACTGGGAAGAATGGTCGCTGTGTGTCATGTGGCCCGAGATCACGCGAAGGAGCTTGGGCCGAAACCCTAAACCCCAAACCCCAAACTCCAAACCCTAAACCCTAAACCCTAAACCCCAAACCCTAAACCCTAAACCCTAAACCCCAAACCCTAAACCCTAAACGGCGGACCCTAGAATCCCCAACCTCCCGGATGGCCTGGCCTTCATGTCGGTGAAGTTGAAGCCCCAAACCTGTCTCTTCAATCCATAGCGGAGACGGGCTTAGGGCTTAGGGCTTAGGATGGGTTTAGGGTTTAGGGTTTAGGGTTTAGGGTTTAGGGTTTAGGGTTTAGGGTTTAGGGTTTAGGGTTTAGGGTTTAGGGTTTAGGGTTTAGGGCTTAGGGCTTAGGGTTTAGGGTTTAGGATTTAGGGTTTAGGGTTTAGGGCTTAGGGTTTAGGGTTTAGGTTTAGGGGCTAGGGTTTAGGGGCAATAGGCACCCCCACAGAAAAAGGGGTCCGAACCCTGAACTTTGCACCAACTCTGAGGGCTTGGCGTGGTTGATTTCTAGGCGTTTCTTCAGGGTTGTCCAGGTTCATGTTTGGGCTTTTGTGTTGCTTGAGAGGGATTTCGGGGTTCTTTAGTCTTAAGGGTTTGAGCTTAAGGGTTTTCCAGGCTGCTTCTAGGTTTTCGAGCTTCAGGACTTTGCGATCTCCAGGGCTTATCCTCGTTGATATTGGGTGGAGGGTGAAGGGTTTCAAAGACGAAGTGCTTGGGGTTTGGCTTTCGGAATTTGGGGGGGGGGGGGGGGGGTGGGTGTGCCTCGTCAAAGTAGTCGAAGTGCTTTGCTTTGTAGTCGGAATCCTGCTGATGCAAGTTTTTTGGGGCCTTGGGCTTGGGGGAGGCTGGGG